TGAAAAGGTACACTGCTATCATTCCATTTGACACTGATAAAATATTGGCATATTCAGAATCCTCATGAAAAACTGGGCTAGACAGTGTACTCAAAAATTCTAATGCTGGTAGTAATTTTGATAATGTTGTTACTGCTTAGAGGTTGGATAGATTTACTACTAGTAATATTTTGCAGTAAAAATGAAATTGAAAAAATCCCTGCCTGCCGGGGTTAAAATTTTCTTAGTAGCATCATTCCTGCCACAGATGGAATATGAGTTTTTGATCCGTTGTGTACCCCTCTAAATTATRACCCCTGTCTGGTAGTACTTGTCGCCAGACAATAAATTGGAGGGCTCTGGGAAACTATTTCTTTAATTTCCAATTTTGTTTGCTACCACAAATCAACTAGAAAAAGAATACAAATCAGATAAACTAGATATAAATTGAATTAAAATTGCAATTTTTGGTAACTCTTCCATATCCTCATATGTATAATTGATAGTAGACCGGCTTTGGCATTTGCCAACAATAGGGCTACTGCATATAATCTTTGTATCCACCATAAACTACTAGTATTACTACTATCGACTATGTTTCTACCTTAAATTGACTTTGAAAAGCTATAAAATTTTGCTTTAATTGAAAATTCTTTTCTGTAACCCCTCAAGGCTCCAATAGCCCTAACAAACACATGAACTACTACTATGAGTATTATTTTCACTCCAATGTACGTCACTGCTACTAGTGGTCAATTTGGTTGAAGTCGCAAGGGATCCAGTAGCTTATCGTAAAGTGTCTGGTACTTTTTGGGGGTTTTCTGCTAGTAGTACTGGCTGGTATTGTAGGGCATAGTGGTACAGTACTACAAGTACATACTTCTACTTGTTAGAAATCGATAAGTCTTATTTTGCACCCAAACTTGTACTACAAGTATGTACTTCTACTTGTTGAGCCCTGTTGTAGTGCTCAATCAACGGGTGATTCCCTTTAATCTGGATTCACTAGTAAATGTCTTAATTGACTACTTAGTCTAAATCAATATAGACAAGAAACAGGAAATGGACCAATTGCTGCTGGCTTGATGATGGCAGTTTTCAGGGAATTTGGAATCTTAAATACTACTAGTACCTCTGCACCTCGTCTTAAGTTGGATTAAGCTCAATATTTGGGCAATTTTACTGCTTCGTTTTTATTATGTTGATCTTCTTGTTTACTACTATTTGAATGTGATATGCCTTTTAATGTCATACCAGTAGCAATGAAGGAATAAGCCTTCAAACAGGCTTATTTTTTCATATGAATATGATAATACCATCATTTAAGTTCTAAAGGTCATTTTTATATGCTGCCACTTGCACATGATAGCTAAGATATGAGAGCTTTACTAGCATGATATTCTTACTATCATATTCCCAGAGAGTGTTCCTTTACCAGTCATTGTTGTTCTTGTTCAAAAGAGGTGCAYGGTACTAGTGCCATTGTTGTCAATATATTGTTTCCTGTCTTAATATACTGTTATTTTGTCATCTGTCATTGTATCAAATCTAGTCAACCAAGGTTGACAGGAATGACCCACCAATATGAGTGATTAGTAGTGATTAGTAGTGYGGGGTAGTGAGGAAGAGCTTTCTACTATAGAATTAGTACTACTACAAGWATTAGAAGAAGTACTATGGTACACAGTCATATTTTATTGGGGTATAAATGGATTGGTACTGGAGAGGAGGAGGATTTTGATCTGGAGATTTCCTGCTTTGTCTTAAATGGAAGGATCCTCCTTTTCACCATTGATAAGGTACCTTGTTGCAAGTCACTGGCTGTCAGGGACTTCATGAAGACTACTAAATGGATCTGGTGCACTGAAAGTTGTTTGTACAAGTTGATGAGCAAGTTCATGATGGTACTCCTCTCCCATCTTAGCTCTTCCAAGAACATCCAGTCTTTGAAAATTGCCCTTGTGGTATCATGTTCATCATCCTCCATTCCATCATTTTTCTCCTGCTGTGGATGTCAACCCAAATGTCATTGCCATTACTCAGATCCTCCTCTTGTCCTGAACCAGTAGTAGAGCACCATTCCAATAGCATGTATTGCATTGACCTCTCTTCTCTTGGTGCCCTGGGCTTCCTAGTCCTGRGAAAACAAGAAATTTCTACTATGGTCTCATTGTTCTTGTCAACTAATACCTCGTGAGCTTCTGAAGATCTTGTCATTTACATCACAGCAGCTGAGGAGTGCTTGATTGAGCCCTGAGTAAAAGAKATGGTGGAAGGAAGACATTGAGCATATCCTCTACTATAGTAGTACTAGATTACAAGTTGTGGGGTTCTCCACTCTCTCMAATGCCTCTCTTCTGGACTTGGTATTTCAATTACTACTTTACTGGGTGTGCTCCTCGTAAGTCAACTGCATGTACCAGTATATCATAATAGTCTCTAGCATGGCTCCAAGATTTGTTACAATCTTCTTTGCTACTTCCTCTGGTCCACTAAGTGTGCCATTGTGCCCCTGTTTTATGGGTCCTGTATACCATGTGTCACCACTTCCTTTTACTTAATGGTTTTTAAGGTTTTTGGCAGTTGGATTCCACAAATGACTGTGTAGAATGTGTAGAATAAGTGCTAGATACTAAAAATTGGCATCCACATGAATAAAAATTATTATTGCACATGGTATTAAACAGAGTGTTAACACATGTAACAATATATTGATGATGATACAGTGCACCTCTTTTRAATGCAAATGACCTRTTTACAAAAGCAAGCTATACTATTATGAAGTATAGCCTCATAAATTGTCTACTCTTARCCATTTAGTAGTGCAAGTGGAGGCATATCAAAATTACCGTTAGAACCCTTTCAACCAGTACTAAAATGAAATACATAATGTTAAAAGTGCTCTGTGCACAAAGTAAGGCGTACTGATGAATTAGAATGATGTTTAAAAGTGAATTATAATGAATTACTAGATTATATAAATAGATCTCCTTCACRACCTTTTGTGTTGCAGTTGATTGGGAACTCCTTTCTGCTGTAGTTCCTGTCCCCTGTAGATCTTAGTAGTGATTCTAATGGGGAGCTTCACCAGAACAGAACTCATCATCAACATGGCACCTCATTAGTAGTTCTGTTCTGCTTCTTATTCTGCTTCTTGTTCTGTTAGAAGGTGATGATGCCGTCAAGAATAGGAGTTCTTGATGATCTCATATGTATTCTTATATATAGTACTAGTATTTAGTAGTAGCAGGGTCTAGACCGGAACCTATAAATGTAGGTCTGGTCCCAAACTCACCATAGATTCTAATCTTGTAGTTCTGGTACCATAGGTTTGAGGATTCATGAGTGATCCACGAGTGATCCACGAGTGATCCACAAGTGATCCACAAGTGATCCTCAGTACTGACCCGGTAGTAGTAGTACTAGTAGTAGTAGTGCTAGCACTAGGATGCAAGAATGAAAAGTGTTGATCTATATCTGCTAGAATTACCATGATGGAAATGTACAAATATTGTTTTCCTGTTATTTGAAAATATTGAAAAATTGTCAAAAAAACTAATTTATTGATATTACACTACTGTGTGTTGCTGGTAGGAGGAAAAATCAAAATCCACCAACACCAAAAATGAAGAGAAAGTAGTCCCCATCACCTGTGCTTGCAAAACTGAAAAATAGGGAGGATGTTAATAATCTGATAGATTCTTGTTCTTTTTTCCAAAGCTTGTAAAAAAATGCTTGTGYGAGCAAAAGAATCTTGTTTTGAAAAGGGGTGAGCGGTAGCAGTGCTCATTGCTCTAACTGTAGTAAAGTGTATGKTTTTTTCCCTATGCACGGATATAGGTTTTGCACCAGTGATGTCACAGTTGAACAAGTTGTTGGTTTTCTGCGCTCCGTCAAGTTAACGGTGCAATAGGGTAGGAAGAAATCAATGGAGAACGGTCTCAAGCTCTAATGAATAGCACAGTCACTATTTATTACAACCAAGTAGGAAGCGATTCCTGCAAGCATATCTTCTGGATCGAAGGCGCTTGGACCGCACAATGCCGCACTCGCGGGTAGATGATCTAATTTCTCGCATACTGTATCCGAACGCGAGAAGTCTGTTTGCAACGAAAGGTTTGACAACGTGAGCTTTACAATAAGGTACGATCGAAATTTACAAATTTGTCAATCGACTCATCAACATCAAACCTGACCGCGAAGCGAAAGCAACATAATAGCYCAGAAATTTTTAGATTTGAGTCTTTCACTTACATATCAATTCGCTCTTCTGAGGACTGCATCAATTCGCGACGAGTCCGAGATCCACCATGTCTCTGTATTTCTTCATGGTGGGCCTCCACGGATTCATAAATTTGGGATGAAAGGCATGTCCATCCCAAGCCCAGCGATGGACCATACGCAGGCACGGAGGAACCGCCCAATTYTATTTCATGAACGTGAACTTGTACCGTCCCAAAACTGACGCCACGTCCGACGCTTCTGTAACTGCAGCTATCTGTATCGATTCYGGTGGTCCTATTCGTTATAGCTTGTGATTTTACTCTGTGTTTTTCTGCGAGTTTTTGGCGAGCTTCTGTTTCATTATCTACTTCTGATTCTGGACCTTGTAAGGTATCATCGAAAAGCGTGGAGAATGTTACAATTGGACMACTACTGATACTTCCATCGATGATCCTYGACTGCGTTTCGTCTGCAGCGTGATCACCACTGTTACTGGCTTCTCTCGTTCGGGTGCACTCATCTTCATCGATGACTTCAATCTCCTCCACTTCTGMATTACTATGCAAGMCCTTGTAATCKCTGTCATCATCGCGAACCACATCTGCGGAAACTAGCAAATGATCATCATCAGGATTTCGTACTTCTAATTCCGTTGTGATTTCGATTCTGTGCTCGGTCGCGTTCCCGTTGTCGAGGCACRTCATGGGCACCAGACAGAGATTGTTCTGATCATCAAACAGCGCCATTGAATTCTCCAGGGACAATAGAGACTCTATAGAAGAGCAACAGTGTTGYGTTTGATCMAGCTCATTTATTCTTTTGGACCCAAGCATTGTTGATGACAACGACTTCAGTGAATCTACCAATCGTCCTTTCTTCATCTTTCGAGGATGCCGCTTGTGGAATAGAAATCTCTTCCACATTCTTTCTTTAAAACGACTCAGTTGCAACGAGAGTCTTCGCCATGGACASTTACGTTTGCCCCTGTGTCTCTGCCTTTGCTGTCTTCAAAAACGACTCTGCCGAATGACTCGAGTACGAAGTTATGTGGGGTCTTCTGATGCCTTCGATTTACTRTTCCTACCGGCCGGTATTATTTGATTCGACTCCAATTTATCATGACACAGAGGTACAGTAGGCAATCCACGCAACAAGTAAGTACAATGAAATGGAAGTCGAAGAACGGTGAAAAAAAAACATTCATGTCTCATTTAGTTCTTCGCTASAACACCTTCCCGAATGGTTCTAAAACTTTGTCTTCCTCTTACTGCTTATCAYTTAATGAAAACCATTTTTGTCCTTGGAACGAACGTACTATTATTAACCTTACTTATGAAAACCCTTTCGATTGACAAGGAATTTTATATAGTCCTTGAAACGTTAGAAACGGCTCATCAATATCCACCGAACCAAAAACTCAGCGATTGATAAAAAGAGCGCGCAGCATTTAATAGAATGCGAAAAAGATTCGTCGCATGAATGCCGGCAGATCAGATGGACTAATAATTGAAACAGGACTCAGCCAGAGAGCAAAAAGTAATAATTTCAAGTTCTAAACTTCGATTTGAAGTTATGAACTTCAAAATGTCCCTGTAGAAAGTCTACCAGGTTCTACTGAGCTAATTTTTGGATGGCATTCATGATTGAAAGGCCAGGATTCATTATTGAATCACCTCGAACCATTTTGTTTTGTTTTGAGGGGAATCGATTCGGTCATTCAGTCATTTTAAAAACAAGCTCATTAGAACCTGGTACATGATGTACGAGCAAAAGTTAATAACTTCAAATCAAAGTTTAGAACTTGAAATTAATTGCTTATGGAATCAACAATCATACTTCTCTTTGAATCCTGTCGTTGCCACAGTCAGAAAGTACCAGGTACGGTACTCGTACCATGCATGGAGAAGGCTTTTCTTTTTTCCCACTTTTTGCTGAAAGATCAAACTTCTCTCCCATAGCAAACTTCCGGCAGTGAAGCTGGGATGACGACAGACATTGTTCGAGATCAATCTGGATGCGGAGCATTTAATAATCTCTGACCGCAAAACAAAAAGTGCTATGCAGAAGGCTATTACGAAGTATAATTTATTACTGAATTTCCTATTAACCGAACCATGCATCTCATCCGTAGGGTTACTATTGTGAATTTCGGGGACAGAATGGCGTCAATTAATGATCCAAAAGTACAGTAACAAAATGAAGACTGATTAAAGTAAAWAATGGCGCGAAATATTGTGTCATGGAAAGCGAAGGTAACTGGCCAATGAACTGTTTTGAACTCACAAGCACGAGGTCTGAAATGAACACGAACAATTATTCTTATGCTACGGAAAAGGGCCAGAAGGTGAAGCAATACACACGGTAGGGCTGGTGCCTTCTCTTGCTCCAAGGAACTGCTTTGGTTTCCCTCGATTGGCTTCGCTTYGCATCTATTATGACCACACCTGCCTCGACCCTTATCGGCTGARCCAACCAAAAAAGTTTCGTTTGTCTTCAAAAATATTTYTTTCGKWATTGTTGAATAGGCGGTTGTAYGGCTGCTTTKGCGTTTCTCTGTCGTATGAGCAAGCGCAAAGTGGTACACTGTGACCTTGCAGCTGTAGCAGCAAKGTGTTTCTGCTTGCGTTCCCGAAACACGGAGTGATTGATGGTTCCAACAACGGGGTAAATCAGTCAAAAAATGAGCTTCAGCGAATCCACTGCCTGAGCTGTGTAGCTCAAATGTTTTGATTGCCCAACTGTTTGGAGAATCACCATCTGTTTGTAATCTTTTTTATACGAATGTTAATTGAACAATTGATTTTTYGTAGATCCGAAGCTCGACAGGTTCTCTATATTAAACTTCTACAGTACTTTTTACGATCTCTTCCACGTCCCGGGACGATCAAAGACCAATGTCAACGGTTGTTCTCTCGCCTTTTTCGTTTTTTGTTTCTTCGCAAGAGAAGCAGATTCTTCTTTCTCTTGCTTCGGTTGCCGGGACCCCAGCGCCGCCAAATTCGAGAAATTCTCGTGGTCCCCCTTWTTGTAGGTCGATTCGCCCGGACGGAAGGTGTATCCCTCCAGATCAAAACCAAGGAGCTCGTCGAGGGACTCTACRGCGTTCATGGCCATGAACCGGACCATCAGCCCCCGGGCCCGCTTGGCATGGACGGCAATCGTCCGGCCCCCGTGCTTGAAGACTACCTTRACGATGCGACCCGCTGGGACATCGACGGCCGCCGAGTACTCRTCGCTGGCTAGGTTGACAATGATCACGGCGGGATTCGTTGTTGCGTTTGCATCGGCCTGGCCTCGCTCTTCCTCCTCGATGCAGGACCGAATGGGTGCCTTCCAATAGTCTTCCAGCTTGACCTTTGGATCGATGCCTTTGGTTTTGCTTTTGGCAAAGACACCCTTGGTGGCCATTTCGAGACGGTAGGCCTCGACCTCGTCCATGGGGCGGAGCCAGCCATAGAGAGGATCGACTATCCGGAGGTGACCCTGCAAATATTCGAGATTCGCTTTGGTGGCCATGGTGCCAATGTCCAGGCCGCTGTACGCCGCGCCGTTGAAGAGAAAAATGCTCGGTTTTGTGGTGGTCCCGCCGGAAGCGTCCCCCGAMATTTGCTGCCAATACCCTTGTGCCGCAGAGGTGATTTTTTGGCTCGTCTTGAGGAGCGCACCGAGCTTCGAGGCCGAGGATGCGTGGCTCTTCATGGCGGCAACCACCTCTGTGCGCCTGGACTTGAGACCGTCGAGGGGTTTCGTGAGCCCAATGCCATCCGGAACGTCGTCTTTCAGGTTCAGGGTCTTGGCGGGGGACAGAATCATCAGCAACTTATATTTGTTGTTGCTGTTTTTTTGGTCGTTTGTRRTGCTGGTTGTTCTCTCGGTGCCCTGTTCGTTATCGACCTCGGCTTTTATCTTGGTGCCGCTCCGTGTGCTGCTGGCTGCGGCGGTCGCTGTTGCCGCACGCGTAGCCTTTCGTTTTCTCGTGGCAACGGCCATGGTTCGTCCGCTGATATTTGTTGCGGTGTCTACCTTGTATTGGCCGGAAAGGAAATAGTTGTTGCTGTTGCCGTTGCTGTTTGCAAAGTATAACCTACCGTGTTGGCGGGGATCGGCAAAGGACGAAAACGCGTTTCTAGGAAGGCTGCGGTGGATCGCCTGCCGGAATAGTTGCATGCGGTGCGGTTTCCCCTCGGTCGACGCGGATGCCGCSGATGCTCCTGTTTGCGGCCGAAGAAATGCCGCCGAAGCCGATGGGAGGAACAGGGGGAAGAGCGTCACCGACACCGCTGCGAAAACGACKAGCAATTCGACGGAAGCCTTCTGCCAGTAGCAATGAGGCATGGAATACTGCGGACAATCTTTCCTGTAATCAGTTCTCGTACCATACCGTACGGCACAAGGCTGTTTCGGTGATGTGAGCAGGCACGGTACTCTCTTCACGAACAGGCTTTCACCGTGACTTGCTGGAGTTGTTTCGAGTTGCGTGAACAACAGCCACAAATGGATTCATTTTGGGGAATATATCATATTACGAAGTATATTATGTGTGAGGCAGTACCACGTAGTAAATAACGAGTAGATGGTGAGTGACAGCACTAACAGGCTCAACCACTCACTCCACTCTCCACTCACTCTTTATTGTAATCCCCAAATGTACATTTCATAGGTTATGAGCAACAATAGATTTCATAGGTTATGAGCAACAATAGACCACATACCTCAGCTCATTGCTACCATTATCAGCACCAATAACTAGTAGTAGTAGTACTATCACATAGCAGATTGATTTTCTATTGTTGGATCCCGATTCGTCCCCCTACCTCGCCGTTGCTTGCTTGATTTGAGAGGAAAAAATATGGGCAAGTTATTATATGCTATTATAACTGTTGAGGAGTTTGCAAAGCTCAAGAGCACAAAGTACAAAACTTTTCCCACACAAATAACACGGAGGACCTCGACAGAGTACATTTTCTGGTACGATTTGGGTACACAACAAGTAACATCACTGCTGAGATCGAGAGCTTTAGCTTGAGATCAAAGTGAGGTTACTGCAAGTATCTTCAACACCAACAAGCTCTCGAGCTTGTTGGTGCTGAAAATACTTGTTTTGCTGAAGCAGAGCCTGTAGTAATCATTGAGCACCAGCAGTTCAACATTAGGACGCTGATACAATACTACAAGTCGCTGATAYGGAGGACACTGATACAATACAGAGGAGCAAGCCAACACTGATACTACCATACATGTTGCTGGTGAATTACAATTTCTACTGTAGTGTACTATTTTCTACATGAGTTTGTAGTAGTAGTAGTACTTAATCATCCCCAATAATTTTCTTTCTTGTGCTTTAGTACAGCAGTGTACCTGTTGAGGTCTGTTTGCCTTTCTTGCATGGTTACAAGCGTGCACAAGTGCACCAGTGCACCTGATTTTGTAACCAGACCCCTTTTTTTAACCACACTAGTAGTAGTAGTAGTAGTAGTAGTAGTAGTAGTAGTAGTAGTAGTAGTAGTAGTAGTATTGTGTAGAAAATATGGGCTCTCCTTCTTAGGAGGGAAGGGTTTGGTTACAAAATTCAGTCCGCACGGTTTGTAACCAGTTGAGGTGCATGTAGGAACAAGGCAAAAATAACTACTAGTGTTTGTACCCATGATTTTGCTCAACAAAATAATGTACCTAAATAATACSACG